GGATCAGGTTAGTCCGTTAGCCCCCACGCTAACGGACCTGGATCAGGTTAGTCCGTTAGCTCCCATGCTAATGGACCCGGATCAGGTTAGTCCGTTAGCCCCCATGCTAACGGACCTGGATTGGGTTACTCCGTTAGCCCCCATGCTAATGGACCTGGATCAGGTTAGTCCGTTAGCCCCCACGCTAACGGACCTGGATCGGGTTAGTCCGTTAGCCCCCATGCTAACGGACCTGGATCGGGTTACTCCGTTAGCCCCCATGCTAATGGACCTGGATCAGGTTAGTCCGTTAGCCCCCACGCTAACGGACCTGGATCAGGTTAGTCCGTTAGCTCCCATGCTAACCCCCCTGCTAACGGACCTGGATAGCATGAAGCTGGGCCTGATGGGTCTGTTAGCATCGTCATTTTTGGTCCACCTATTGCATTTCCTCCTGATCTCCGAGTGGAGCTCCATCAGGCAGAGACACAGTAGCACGGGGAGCTCTGATTGGACGAGAGGGAGCTGACAGCTTGGCGTTCAGATGCACCTGAGGTTTGGAGTCACCGTGGAGAGAGAAGAGATCAATAAAGGGAGTCTTAGATGTGTGAGAGGAGCATAAAACACATCCTGAACCTCAGGATGAGCTCAGGGTTGTGTGCCTTTTCTTTGAAGCGTAATCCATTAAACCTTAGAACTCTTTTATGCAAATGTCTCGTAAGATAAAAGCAAACCAGCCCTCGAGGTCCTCCCATGCACAAAATACATGTATATAGTAGCACATCTCTTAAAAATGCAAATCCATTCAATGTATGGCAACTCGGCACATTGTTTTGAACATGATTACAAAAGTTTGTTTAATTTTACCGTGTTTTTTGTTCATGTTTGAAGCAGAAACGTTGAGTTTTTACAGGGAAATGAGCACGTATTGTGTTGAAAAAGCATAGGATGATGCCCACAGGGTGTTGCTCTGTGCTCTCAGCGTGCGTGTGTTAGCATTTACATAACTTTGCAGGTCTATGGAGAGATAAGATTCCCTGGAACTCTGTGATGCCTCTGTTTGGTTAGCAGCTACACACACACACGCGGGCTCTCATGCTCGGGGGGGTATATCGGAGGCAGTTCCAGATAAAAAAGTGGAAAGTTCACCGAGAGGCAAGGTCGTGTGAGATGTTTAACAGCCCAACTGGAAAGTCCACCATGAGCCGTTCCTGTTATCGGGCTACTACTCTGTTTTGTTTTCGCCTTTCGCCCGGACGCGTGTCATTAACTCCCCGTGTGTTATCCTCTAAATGCCGCCTGCATGCGGCGGAGCCCATAAATATTATCATTACTCCGAGTGACTAATGCCCAAACAGTAACGCGTATTGTGGGCTATTTCTGAGCACTTTGCTCGGCTAGCTTAAAACTTTCTGTCGCTTTTATAGAGAATTATTTGGATTAATGTCACATACTGTCTCAAATCTTTGTTAAAACTCTACTTAAAAAAACAGAAAATGGATAATGCATTTGATATGTTTTATATATATATATATATATACATATATATATAATTATTTGGATTAACGTTATATACTAGCTCCCGAGTATGTTTTAGATAATTTATAAGGCTTTATTTATGTTAGATTTTGTCATTAGTGCTTCAAATCTTTGTGAAAACTCTTCTAAAAAACAAAAAATTGATAATGGATTTGATATTTTATATATATATATATATATAATTATTTGGATTAACATTATATACTAGCTCCCGAGTATGTTTTAGATAATTTATAAGTCTTTATTTATGTTAGATTTTGTCATTAGTGCTTCAAATCTTGGTGAAAACTCTTCTAAAAAACTGAAAATGGATAATGCATTTGATATATTCCTGATTTAGCTTAATAATGTCAACATTCAATTCGTTTGTGATGAATGTAGAGCATTATGGGGGGTTGTTTTCCAATACAGTCTTTATTTATGTTAGCATTTGTCATTACTGTCTCAAATCTTTGTGAAAACTCTCCTTAAAAAAAACAGAAAATGGATCAAGCATTTGATAGATCTTTGTGAAAACTCTTCTAAAAAACAGAAAGTATTGGACATATTCCTGATATAGCTTAATAATGTCAACAATCGAGCTGTTTGTGATGAATGTAGAGCGTTATGAGGGGTTGTTAAAAAGAGTAAACAAACAACAGCCAGCTAGTGTAAATAGTATTCACTACATAACAACCAGAATGGATCATCAGCAGCTTTAAACTGGACTTTCCTCCCTATTCCTGCTGCTCACGCACAGGAAGGGAGGGCAAAATTACCGCCACGTGCACTCAAACGCCTGCTTCCATTATGAAAGCCTCCCCCGGATTGGTCCAGATCCCAAACACTGTATTTTTAGACGCCCTCTGATTGGCTGTCGCCTCCGAGTCGATAGTGAACACAGCTCAAAGCTTCCAGACAAGGGATTCATGAGCGTCTCATACTATGAGAAAGTAGTGCGCCATATTTGACTAATTACGACTTGTTTTTCGGATAATTCTCAGGTATTACTTCATAATTCGCTTAACGTGAGTATTCGACCGCGTTGGCTAATGATATATCGCCGAAATACGGACGGATTAGATAATAGTGTCGATTTGTATTGGTGGCGGAGGGATACAATTATCCAGGTTACGCGTCAAAATATTGGCTCCGGGAGACCGCGCCAAAGCTCAGACGGCGGCCACTCTCCGGGATAATAACACTCCGCGGAGGCCGCTCACAAACGTCCAACGGTCGCTTTTTTCGTAGCCATTTTCGGGTTTTTTGGGGTCATTTTCCCCCCGTTTGAGGACTCTTATCGTCGGAGGAACTCGCTTTGGGGGCACAGGATCGGGATTTGATGCCGGTTTTCGGGTTTCGGAGCACGGCTTCTCGGTCGTGACACGGATCGTACGGGCACGGTGCTGCCGGGTTGGGGTGGATCTCTATCGGACTCCCCGGCCGCCACGGTCCGGTCCCCCGGGGCTCCAGCATTTTCTTTAAAAAACACAAATTTTTGTTGTTTTTTCTGTTCGTTTTGACTCCTGACCTCTTTAAAAAAGGAACAGTTTACTCCGGCTTTTCAGCTCGAATATGTTGCTGTCAAAGTTTGGCTCTTTTTCCCACATTTGCAACCCCTCAAGCATGGACCATCTCCCCGTGAAAATACAGCTCCCCCCGGGTAGGTTTTCCCGGGTTCCCCGGTGTCCCGGAACCGGGATTTTCCGGACAAAAACAAAGAATATGGAGGCGCATTCTTGCGTCTTGTGATGAGTTTTCATAACCCTGACGACGTTTTTGCGGCCGGCTTCCTCGAGAATAATCACTGTTTTTCTTTATTTATTTTTTGTCCTTTTGCAGTTAAAATGGAGAAGGAGCCTTTTGAGAAGGTTTACCAGGTGGGATCGGTGCTGGGAAGCGGGGGTTTCGGCACCGTGTACGCCGGGAACCGGATCTCCGACGGGGCTCCGGTGAGGACGCAGCTCCGTGTTTTGACCTCCCATGTGGCGCCATTAAATCTGCATTTTTGGGGGTTTTTGGGGCCTTTTTCCTGCTTTAAAACCCTCTCATATTCGGTGTCCCCCCCTAATTTTTTGCAGGTCGCTTTAAAGCACGTTGCAATGTGTTTTGACCTCCCATGTGGCGCCATTAAATCTGCTTTGTGGGGGCTTTTTCCTGCTTTAAAACCCTCTCATATTCGGTGTTTTTTCCTCTTATTTTCTTCCAGGTCGCGGTGAAGCACGTTGCAAAGGAGAGGGTGACGGAGTGGGGCTCCATTGTGAGTGTTTATTCCCAAATTGGTTTGTTTTGGTTTGGCTCCTGAACCCCCCTCCCCCCCTTTTTTCTGGGTGGGAGGATTTCAGGCGTGTGGTGTCTAAATATACGTCTGTTTTCTGTTTTTTTTTGCGTATCAGAACGGAACCATGGTGCCTCTGGAGGTCCTCCTGCTGAAAAAAGTGGGCTCCTCCTTCCGGGGGGTCATCAAGCTCCTGGACTACTACGAGCGCGCGGACGGGTGGCTAATCGTCATGGAGAGGCCGGAGCTGGTCAAGGACCTGTTCGACTTCATCACGGAGAAGGGGGCCCTGGACGAGGACACGGCCCGGGGCTTTTTCCGCCAGGTGCTGGAGGCCGTGCGCCATTGCTACGGATGCGGGGTGGTGCACCGGGACATCAAGGACGAGAACCTGCTGGTGGACATGCGCACTGGCGAGCTAAAACTCATCGATTTCGGGTCCGGGGCCGTCCTAAAGGACACCGTGTACACCGATTTCGACGGTAAGAACACCCCCCGTATCCCTACACCAACCCTCCGGTACCGGTCCCCCCCGGTCCGGTGCACCGGGAACGCGCCCGTGACGCAGCGGCGCGCGGCCGTGACGCAGTAGAAGTCTGTTTTTGGTTTATTTATTTATTATTTTTTCGTGGGGATACAGGGGTTTTCTCCTGGCAAACGCTCGTCTTTAAGGTTGTAGATCAGTCTGCACGCTGGTGGACGTGACTCACGGTTTATTAGCCTTTTCCGGTTGTTTTTTGTTTTGTTTTTGGTTATTTATTTATTATTTTTTCGCGGGGATACAGGGTTTTTCCCTCCTTGGTGAGGGTGTAAACCTGTCGGTAGACGCTGGTAGACGTGACTCACGGTTTATCAATCGGTTTTCGGTTGTTTTCTGTTTTGTTTTTGGTTATTTATTTATTATTTTTTCGTGGGGATACAGGGTTTTTCTCCTGCCAAACGCTCGTCTTTAAGGTTGTAGATCAGTCTGCACGCTGGTAGACGTGACTCACGGTTTATTAGCCGGTTTCCGGTTGTTTTTTGTTTATTTATGTATTATTTTTTTGGTTGGGATACAGGGTTTTTCCCTCCTTGGTGAGGGTGTAAACCTGTCTGCACGATGGTAGACGTGACTCACGGTTTATCAGCCGGTTTCCGGTGGTTTTTTGTTTGTTTGTTTATTTATTTATTATTTTTGTGGGGGGGGGCACTGGGTTTTTCCTAGCTAATGCTTCGTGGTGAGGGTGTAATTATGTCGGTACGCTAGTAGACGTGACTCACGGTTTATCAGCCGGTTTCCGGTTGTTTTTTGTTTTGTTTTTGGTTATTTATTTATTATTTTTTTGGGGGGGATACAGGGGGTTTTCCTGGCAAAGGCTTCTCTTTGAGGGTGTAAATCTCTCGGCACGCTGGTAGACGCGACTCACAGCTTTATCAGCCGGTTTCCGGTTGTTTTTTGTTTTGTTTTTTTTATCGGAAATGTGAGTCACGGAGTGGAAATGTGCCACGTAACGACTGTTTGTTGTGAAACCTGAGCCAGAGGGCTGTTCTTCTTCTCCGGCTTCTCCCTTTTCTTTTTTCTTTTTTTCTCCTCCCTTTGGTTTGGTAACATTCCCAAAGGGAGGGGCACGTCTCTGTGTTTGTGTCACGTGGTTGTCAGTAGAGTAGCCGTCACGTGATCCCCCTCACGCTCTTCTTCTCTGGGTTTATTAATTTCATTTAATTTAATTTTCGTTTATTTTGAAACATGACATGATTTTACAATGTTTACATAGAATGCTTCCTAAAAATGCAGCATGTTTAAAAAAGGTGCAGGATGAAGCATAAGCTTATTAAGCCCTACCCCTCAGTTACATGAGTCGTGGTGGTAAAGGACAATTATTTACAGTAAGACAAACAGTATAACTTTTTATGTATTATTCTTTTTTGTATTCATTTGCACATTCGGATCTATATTTTTAAAGATTGTTCATTTGCACATTCAGATCTATATTTTTAACGATTGTATGTTTCAGTTTTATCATTTCTGTCCTATATTTTTATTTCTACATTTTATTTCTTGCTTCTCATAGAAGTGTTGTGTTGTGCACTAAACGCCAAGGCAAATTCTTCTTTTATTTTTTATTTTTATTATTTTTTTTACCTTGTCCTGTTGAGCATTATGGCAGCAGAACTGAAATCTGAGTACCGTGTTATGCTGAACAAAATTGCTTTGCCAAGGGAGGCTTTGTTAGTGAGAAGCCCCCCTTGATTACCCAAAACTTCTTTATTTATTAATTTTTGTTACCAAACTTTTGTTACCAACGCCAAGGCCAATTTCTTGCAAGTCTAAAAAACCTACCTGGCAATAAACCTGATTCTTATTCTGATTCTTATCAATTCTGCAGGAACCAGAGTGTACAGCCCCCCGGAGTGGATCCGTTTCCACCGGTACCACGGCCGCTCGGCCACGGTTTGGTCCCTGGGCGTGCTGCTCTACGACATGCTGTGCGGAGACATCCCCTTCGAGCAGGACGAGGAGATCCTGCGGGGCCGCCTTTATTTCCGGAGGAGGATCTCAGCCGGTGAGTGGCGCCCCCTAGTGTCCATTAGGGTTTTTAACCGGGCTAAAGGTGACCCTGAGGAACCTGGAGAACTCAACAGGAGACGGACACAGTAGGGGAAACAATCAGTAATTAACATAGATCATGTGATAGCATGCTATGCTAAAGTGAGTATTTATAACCAAAGAGTTCTCAAAACTGGACTCTCAGTCAAAAGGGGAAGCGATTAGTAAACGTAAGACCGGAGAGGATAACTAGATCTTTCCAAAGAGTACACCCGAAAAGGTGTAAGGTCTGGTTGTGTGTGTGTGGGTGTACATATGTGTGTGTGTGTGTGTATATATACAGTGGGGGAAATAAGTATTTGACCCCTTGCTGATTTTGCAGGTTTGCCCACTTACAAAGAATGCAACGATCTATAACTTTAATCATATGTTTATGTTTGTTTATGTTTATGCATTTGGCAGACGCTTTTATCCAAAGCGACTTTCAGAGTAGACACAATATTATATAATATATAGACATAATATTAAGAGCTAGATATATACAGGGGAAGAGCATATATATACATACAGTGGGGGAAATAAGTATTTGACCCCTTGCTGATTTTGCAGGTTTGCCCACTTACAAAGAATGCAACGATCTATAACTTTAATCATATGTACATTCTAACAGTGAAAGACAGAATCCCAAAGAAAATTCCAGAAAATCACATCATATGAATTTATAAAAATTGATAACCATCTGATGAGGAAAAATAAGCATTCTTTGTAAGTGCGCAAACCTGCAAAATCAACAAAGGGTCAAATACTTATTTCCCTCACTGTATATGATCCCTGTATGCCTCATAATCCAGAGATTGGCTTTTTAATGCTCAACAGAAGGAAAATTAGATTTTATTTGGCAGCTTGTTTCAGTTTTTTAGATGCTAATCCAAGCTAGAAAATGCTGAGTTTGCCCTCTGTTTATATATCCTTTTGTTTTCAAAGTATTAAACAAAATATATGTAACATTTAAATAAGGAAATCTGCTTTTTAAAACCTCTGAGAAGAGCTATACCCAACTAGCTTAACGGCTAGTAAGCTAGTTAAGTAAATAGGTTATTAATGAATTGGGTCAAATACTTTTTTAATCTAATTTACTAATATCTATTTAACCTACATTTAAAACATGCAAGTGTGTCATTTGGTATCATTTTAATTGGGTTTTTCAAACTTGTTGAGCTTATTTTTAGCTAGGTGGCGGTTCCCAATCGTTAAGCTAAAGTTTACTAGCTTATTATAAAATGGAGTTGAATCGTATCTTAAACTAATTTAATACAAATACGTATTTAACCTAAATTTAAAATATGCAAGTGTATCATTTGGTATCAAACAATATAATGGTATATTAGGTATAAGTTAATGGTATAATAGGTATAAGTTAATGATATATTGGGTAATATTGTATTAGTTATAAGTGAATGGTGTATCAGGTGATGTTATTTTAGGTATAAGTTAATGATGTATAAGTTAATGGTATATTAGGTATAAGTTACTGGTATATCAGGTAATGGTGTATAAGTTAATGGTGTATTAGGTATAAGTTAGCGGTATATTAGGTATAAGTTATTGGTACATTTGCTATAAGTTAATGCTATATTAGATATTAGGTAATGGTATATAGGTTAATGGTATATTAGGTATAAGTTAACGGTATATTAGGTGTAAGTTATTGGTATATTAGGTAATGGTGTATAACTTAATAGTGTATTCGTCATAGGTTAATGGTTTCTTAGTTATAAGTTAATGGTATTTTCGGTATAAGTTAATGGAGTATTAGGTATAAGTTAATGGTATAATAGGTATAAGTTAGTGGTATATTATGTAATGGTCTATAAGTTAATGGTGTATTAGATATAAGTTAATGGTGTATTAGGTATAAGTTACTGGTGTATAAGTTAA